ACCATGTACTGTTACAAGAAACAGCATTTACGAATTCGTCCCAGGCATTACTTTAATGTGTATTGTGCTACATCCAATTCGATTTTGAGGGGGTGATTCCGTACCATAACGACGTGTCGTCTACTTTTTAGTCTCATGCCTGTATTAACCGAGACACAGCGTTTAATAAGCACATATGAAAAGCGATATTTAAGCTTATGCATTTTCCCATGTGGTAACTACAGTGTAGCTCCAACCTTCTCCGTCGGGCAGAGAATTAGTCAGTAGCATTATATTATTAAGAAGTGCTCTTTAATCGTACAGAAACTACATAGTAGATGCGTTTTACTTCCAGCGACGTATATATCTTGACGAAATTGGTATTTACTAGTGAACAACAATACGAAAAAGGTACTGATTGATTCTAAAATAAATCGTTAACTATCACCTCGCATGAATGGTTTGCTATGAAATATTATTTGGTGCCATATATACTTGAAGGAATAATATTTTTGAAATCATAGTTAAAATTATCGAACTTTTGAAGAACATATTATGAATAGATTTCATAGACAGCACCGATTGAATTTCAAAAACCTCGTCTGTCACGTACGACAGTTCTATTATTTGAAATACTTGTACCTTTAAGATTGATTCACTTTACAAACAGCATTTAGCAATGCAGCATAAAATTTATATCTCTAAAATTAATTTATATTAAATGTCAATGTAGACTGTAAAGTCGATGATGTAAATTAATAAGTAATTGCATCATTCAAGTGGTAGACGAATTATTAATTCGAAAATTCAATTCTTGCCCGAATGCAATTTCAAAGCACACATATTTGGAAACAAAGTGTATTTCGTATGCTTCGACGATATGCATGACACCAACCGTGAATTGATTGAAGTTGAAGATGATAACTTGGTATATAAATATTATCATACCGATAATGCAAAGCACTAATTTATTAAACACCGATTAAGCAGTTATTTTCAAGAGAATTTCATTTAGGCGATCTTGAGAATAATAGTGTAGAGACTTAGGTGGTGGTGGATAAATAAATACTACAATTTATTATTAAAGTATAATACTAGATTAACTATATTGGTGACGATTAAACGATACGTATCTATATCGGATACATCTTAAGACTACGTTCGTCTCAACAACACAATAACAACTCAGACTGTTACAACTAATGTCTAACAACTAAAACGCAACTAAACAACTAACAATTAATAATCCCTCTGAGTAACTCTCTCTCTCTCTCTCTCTCTCTCTCTCTCTCTCTCTCTCTCTCTATAGAACTCTTTCTAAGAACTCCTCGCTTCATAAGTCCACCAAAAACTGTCCGCTTCACGCCCATGCACCCTTACCTAAAACCATACACATTATCCAGTTCCATACCTATACCCTCTTTCTCAATCACGCTTTCCTCACGCACTCCTTACAGCCTTGTCCACGGCGGGTCACGTATCCCAAATCTTTAGGTGCATTCCTAGACACACTTCACTTGCAACCGGTACTTCCATAAGCATCCCGTCTACACGATCCTTGCGCACGGTCATTCATCTTTCCGCACGCACTCCAGATAATGCACTGAACGCTCGAGCCAAACCCGAGACTGCTGTTTATTATTTCGCGAGACTACAATAGTATCAAGGATTATAACCATGACAAAAAAATCTGGATGTGCAACTAGGAAAACAAAGAAAAGCAAAGTACTGGTTTGAGCAGATAGAACAGAACTTGGCAGATGCAATAAGGACAATATGATTCAGATATTCGAAGGAATTTACTATAGATGGAGAACAATACGTTTCATTGTTGTGAACATTATAATTATATTTTGATGCCGAATGAGCAGAAATTAGCGAGTTATATTTGCACTACCTGTGGCAGCAATAATTTGAATGAAAAGAAAATTATGTTGCAGAATTTCCATCTCATATGTGCGCTAGACGAGGCCGAGAACATTCTGCCGCTCGGTCAAACATAGTAAGAAATTAATGTTCGAGCACCCGTATCCAAATAGTATTAGTCGGTACTCTAACTAGTAATATATGATTCAGAATCAAATGTCATTATCAGACAAATCTAAAGGGAGTGCAGAATTTCCTCAATTTTCGTTTTCCCTACCTTACATTTGCTTCAAATAATTTTGTGACAGCTTCCGGATTGAAATGATATCATCAACGATTATATATGTACATTATTTAATTCGATTTAATAAATTTCAACTACACGTCACATTCAATTTAAATTATAATATATATGAGTCAATGCAATTCGAATTGTATCACCATTATTGTTAATCCAATCCAGAAAATGTTATTGGCATTAGTATAAAATTTACTTACAAAAAGGGGCACAAATTTTTATTGCATCGTGTGATCCATTACCGGTTTGATAAACCGGCCCGGTTTCATCGGAATGTACAAAATAATCTCAGTGAGAAAAATTTTAATGATATGAATGTTAGTGACAAGTCAAGTATGTTCTCAATCCCATTAACATTTATCGTAATGTGGAAACCAATCTCAGATTACAAAGCAATCTGAAGAAACTGTTGCTTCATCTTCTTCTTTGAATCTTAACTTTCATGAGAAAACCCTTCATTATATTGAGTACTCAATAATTTCCATACTTTAATCAAATTAATTACCAGAATAAATAAATTTCCAAATAAATTATTTTACCCTGTGCTTAGCATATGCAATTCCTGCGCCTTTATTTTTGTCTGCATATGGTTATGGGAGCCCTACGGAATGGTTGAAGTTGGTTGTTGTCTGCGTCGTATTCTCTGCATCGAGTAGTAGTTACTGTCGGCAAACACTGGATAGAACGAAAGGAAAAGGAAGGGATGAGTTTTGCTTGTGCCCGCAAGTGGGTTTATTACTAAAGCTACTTTGCAGGCTCTGCCTCAGACGGACGTATTGTTGAAAGTCTTGCAAATTCTGCACATAGAAGGTGAAGCGTTCACCGAGGAATTGTGAAAATCCTCGAACCTCTATGAATATAGTATCCATCAAGTGTTGAGTGTGAAAGTGTCGTCGCTGCAGTTATAAATAGATTCTACCCATCTCGTGTCACGTTTAGCCTCACATGAAACAGGAAATGCATTAAAAGTTGATATATAGGAAAGCAAGGAGTAAATTAACTGTTACATCGGATCGTGCTAAACAATTCGACGACTGGTCATCGTGTCGTCGCGTCGCATAAATCACTTCACAGGTACAAGAGTTGGGTTCCTCATCAGCAG